ATCTTTCTAAATTTTGTGCAAACTTATATATGTAGATATAAATGAGTGTATGGACCCCATAGCACAATGCGGCAACACAACAAATTGCATAAATCTGCCAGAAAGCTTTATTTGTCGATGTTCCCATGGTGCTGCCATGGTAAATGGAGTGTGCATTAAGAAATCCTTCAGAGGTAACATGCCATTATGTGCACTTATTACCTTCTTTCAATACTTTTTTAACATTTTTCACTAACTATAAATTTATTCATTCATGATCTTATTATTGTTTCTTATTAGTATGTTTGTTAGCTACGTGGTTATTTGAATTTGGTTTGGTATTTTCCTAGGTTTGAGCATCGGGCTAGGAGTGGTTGGTGGTACAAGTCTTTTTCTTCTAGCACTTTGTGGACCCTTCATAATGCGTAAAATCAAATTACAGAAGGTGAAGAAGATGAATCCATCGTCCAGGCAACCATCATGCTTGATATCTAGGTATCGGAGATCGAGAAGCTTCCCGAGGGAAGAGTGCAGAGCATCCAAGGACTGTCTTGCTGCTGCCTCGTAACCTGTTGATCGCCTTTCATGGTTGAACCGTAGTTGAAGATCCCTCAGATTGGTGAGCTCCCCAATTTCTTTGATGGTGTCTGCTGAGCTCAAGCTCATGCACAATTGTCTAAACCGTAGCGTGTGTATGGATTTCATGTTACCAATGCCTCCGGGCAAACTGAACCCGCTGCTAACGATCAGGTGCCGCAACCGGCGCAAATGGACAACATCTGATGGAATCTGGACCTTGCCTACATCGATTTCCAATGTCTCCAACTGCTGCAATCCTGAAATTTTGCTTGGTAGCTCTATATAACCAAAACAAAAAATCATAATTTTCAGGTACCTTAGTTGGAACAAATAACACAATCCAGTTAGGTCCACTGTCATCCGCGCGACACCAACTCGAAGTTCCAGATTCAAAACCCGCAGATGCTTGAACTCCCCTAAAGGAGGTATGTATGTTGATGTGCCAAATCTGGTTAATGCTCTTACATGTGAGAGTTGAATGGTTCCAAGAGATTTGCTATCTGTAACACCATTCAAGTAAAGGGACAGTCGACGAACGGTGCTACGCGTTCCACTAATGTCTTGTAAGTCATCACTTGCAGTGACAAAATTCTCTTCTCTGCATTTGTGTATAATAAGATCAAGCATCATATCGTGCACCCTACAGGACAGAACATCGTTGTTACTATCTGTATGTGCTGGTTGAATAATGCTCCTATTGACAATCTCATTGAAATAGTCGACTGCAATATCCTCTGCGTCTTGCCCACCTGCTTTACTGATAAAACCTTGAGCTACCCATTGTCTGACCAAATCATTCTTGCTGATTTCGTGATCCTCTGGATACATGCCCAAATATAACACGCATGCCTTCAAACAATGAGGAAGATTTGTGTAGCTCAGGCTCAGTATCTAATGCATTCCTTCCAAGGTGGGATTCAGTTAAAGGCTGCAACCCAAAGAATTTGGGAGAAGATCGGCCTGGAATGAGGGAAGTGGATATGACACTTGAAAACTTATTAGTGAGGAAAAAACTTGCCCCATGTATTACAACACAAAAGAGAAATAATGAGGATGGGACTCAGGTTCAGCACATGTCAATTGAATCGGTATCTAATGACTCAAGCAGACAATACACTATGGAAGAGGAAATCTTATTATCAGCAAGTTATCTTCGGTGAACTTATTTTGTCATGAACAACAATGAAGTTCCTTAGTTTCCTTCAAAACTATTCGATGAATCTTTGAGCAATGTATTTGGTTGTAATGCATGTAGATTTCGCATTGTTCCTTGCATGGATACTAAAGCGATAGTAGTGATGTGCTTACCTTTTTTTTTATATAATTGAGCGCCAAAATTACTTGACTTGTTTTGCAATGTGTTGGAAGCATGTAAGAACTCAGATTTAAGCAGAGTATTGCACAACTATATTTTTGAGAGAATGCAACTAATAAACTGTTCTCTCTAGGCTATGTGTGGTTGCAATGATGTGATGCAGATCAAGAGAGATGCGGAAATTTTGGACACTGGTAGGAGAAAATCTAAGAATACAATCTGCAGTGGGTAAATAAAATAAATCCCGCCGTGAAGTTATGGCACCCCAGTCCATCATCCTCAGGATTGAAAACACTGGATGAACTCAAGCAGCAAAGAACAATCGAACAAGCCCTGAAATTGGAAGGGGACATGAATACATAATTTATCATGAGCCAGGTGTGCCTACCGTGTGTCATCGTGCCTTCAAAACAACTGTGTTACTTTTTGAGGATTATGTTTTTTCCCGAAAGAATGGCCAGAGTTTCGCCATAGTTTCGTTAGAAAATAAATTCACCTAATGCAATTTACAAGAGAAGCATGGTGCGCTAAAGTACAACTAGTAATAAGACACAGCTTTCCCTCGAATGACTAAGGCCTTGCTCGGTTGCATGGAATGATTCCCTGCCGAATAGTTTCCTTCGATAATTTGTACTAGCACTGAATGGTTCGTGGCCCGGAACGGCCCGTTCCAGGCTAACCGAACGGGGCTAAGGCAGTACGAGCTAAGACAGAACAAACTCGCATGGGAAGAGAACAGAGAAACAAAGCCTCAAGGGCAATAGAGTTTTTTTAGATTATTACTAAACAGTTTCACTGAAGTCAGCGTTCTCCACCGATTCTTAAACATTACTGTATGTGTGGTCAGGTGTCTTGCGGATCTCAAAGAAAAGGGAACTACGCATAAGCAGTTCAAGCGTTTAACATCTTTATTGCAAAAAAAAGAAAGAAAAAAATACGCTGTGTGCATATTTTATTTTATTCACAAGAAATTTATGGATCAAATTGAGTTTGCCCATAGAGCATGCAGCCACAATGGCTACAACTTAAAGAAATAAATGATGGAGAGGTCAAGACATTCAGAGACGCTGCCCCCTTTTCGTCCCGTGCCTCTTTCTGCTTGGATTTATGTTTCGGATTCAGACACCCCGAGGTATCACCGTATCAGGCAGAGTGTCAGCCATTTGGTTCAATTCACACACCGGCATTCTGATTTATGCAAATTTCACAATAAGCAAACCTGCGTTCTTGCCTCAAAATACACGATCAGATTGGATTGAAATTGGTATGGACCTTGTTAATAACAAATACAAACGTGTTAACGCACATTGAAAAGTGAGAACTACAAAAGATACAGTAGTTAATAAAGTTAGAACAGCATATAGTTAGGTCGAACGGTAATGCTGGAAACGTGCGTCCGTCCACCCGGACGCCGCTCGCCCCACTCCGCTCCGTGCGCTTCACTTCATGGCTTCTCAAAAAAAAAAAAAAAAATAGCGCCGCTCGCCTTCTCCATCACCGAGGCCGCCTGCCGCGGCTTTCTCCAGCGTGGCGGCGCCGCATCCGGCCCCTTCCCGCGCTGCTCCGCATGCCCACACTGCACCACCATCTAGCGCCGCGCCCTTGTCCACCTCGCCCATCGCGGAAGGGGACGCAGGGGAGGCTTGTGCCTGCGCCCCGGCCCCATCCACCTCGCGCCGTCAGCAGGAAGGGAAGGCATGCGCTACCGCAGTTCCCCACTAGGTAGGCCGTGGCCGTCGGCGACACTATATTTCAAGTGTTTCAGGCGTTTTTAGACATGTTGGAAGCCTATATTTCAAGTGTTTCAGTTGTTAAAGATGTATGTTTTAAGTGTTTCATACAGATATTGCAAAAGTATATCAGGTTGTTGCATATGTTGCAATGGTTGTACACGTATGTTGCAGGCGTCTATTCCTAATGTTTTATCTATTTTTCAGACGTATGTTTCAAGTGTATTTATCTAGATGTTGCATATGTTTCACACACATGTTGCAAGTATTTTATCTCAATGTTACGTATGTTTGCAATGGTTTTCAAGTGTTTTTCAGGTGTTTTTGCAAGTGTTACAGACGCATGTTTCAAGTGTTTCATCTGTCTTATTTTGTATGTTGCAGTGCTGTATCTGAATATTTCAAAAATATATCGGGGTGTTGCACATGGGATGCGCGTGGGTAGCTGGAGGGGGCGCGAGCGGTCCCCGTGCGCGGTCGGGCAGCACGGGCCCGTTGCTGGGCGCTCGCTCGCTCGCTGCGCGAGCACCGTCCGATGCTAGCGTCCCGGATCGGACATTTGGACGCTAGCAAGTTCAAATGTGTAAGATCATCCGGTACCTTTCAGTTTCTGGTTATATCTTGAAATTTCAAAAGAACACAAGGTTAAATAAGAACAATTTGATCTTCAGAAGCAGAGCATACAAGCAACAATGGACTTAGTTTCCATGGATGCATCTATATTTTTCAAACACCGAGTTCTCGTTGCACCAATCAGAGGCCAAGCTAGTCTTGTGCCCTTGTTTGCATGCCAAGGCTTCCAGGTTCCAACTCATATACTGGTCAGCAGCCAGCGGCATCAAGTATCGTTTTCCAGACATTTCCACTACTTATAAATGATCGATCCCTTTACGATAAAATAAAATTATCAGAAAATTATACTGACTTGTCATCTCTAGCAAAAGGAAACCTGTGCAAATTGTGTGGACTATTTCTCAACCAAATTAATAAATTAGCTGTAAGTAGGTGGAACGAATTTTACGGACTATTTCTCAGACCAAATTAACAGGACGACCATTCGTCATTTTTGTGTTGAGATTTAATTGTACAGCTGTACGTAGGTGGAAAGAATTTTACGGACGTGAGGTTTAGTCAATGGTTGGTTGGAAATGCAGTGCCATGCGGTGCAGAAGTCTTCTCAGGACTCAAGAAACGTCCATTGACCCCAAGTCTTCGAGAGCTATTACAATGGAAGCCTCCTGAAATGAAATAATAACAATCCAAAATAGTAAAGGTCAGTCCACGCTTGGCGTATTCCATCCGTCACAATAGCTACCACCTCAGGTCTGCCTGCCTCTATATATGCGAAGATCCAGACTCCACGCAAGCAAGCAAGCTAGGATCACCAACGTCGTCGCATGGAGTTGTCACGTCTTCTTCTCCTCTGCCTGGTGACCGTGTGGGTGCTCGCCCCCCCCGCCGCCGCCCCCACCACCGCAGACGTCCCGGTGTCACTGAGTCCCGGCTGCGCAAGGAACGCGAGATGCGGCGGCATCGACGTCCCGTACCCGTTCGTCATAGACGAGCAGTGCGAGATCCGCCCTGGCTTCTACCTCAACTGCACGACCGAGGGCGGCACCACGACGCTGTTTCGTGGTCACCCTAACTTTGAGGTGACCAAGATCTCCGTGCAGGATAACAAGGTCTGGTTCAAGACCTATATCTCTCGGCAGTGCTACAACGAATCGACCAAGGACATGATGTACAACGACGCGATGCTGAACATCACCAACTTGCCTTACGTGCTATCGGCAGATGATAACAAAATCATCGTTCTCGGGTGCAACAGTCTTGCCTACATGCTCAGCAACACTGTAAGTAATCCCTATTGGAGTGTTTGGTTTGACGAATCAACTTATTCAAGATGAAGTGATGCATCATGTGTCTATTTCTTAAATTTAGCAGAATGACTTTATCATTCCTCATACTAGTAGTAATTGTTAGTTTGTGAGGAAGAGGATGGCGATGGATCAACTTATTCCATTCCACAAACCAAACAAAAAACTAAAGAGTGAGATTATGATGGACTAATTTATTCCACAAACCAAAATGTCCATATATTCCACAGTTCGTTCTCTAGACATACAGTCTGAGTTGGCAATAGACTAGCATCCAAATCCACATGGATAAATCCAATTAAAATATAAGAAAAAATCCAAGTCCAAACCTATCCTAATACAAAATGATTAATGTGCAACCCAATCTAATCCTATTGCTTTGAAGTCCAAATCGATCCAATAATTCTATGTCAAAAGCTATTATAAGTATTTATTAATTGAAAAGCTCGCGCTCACACTTTATATTTTTTGTGAAATTGATTAATTTTTTTAGAGATGATTCAATATGATTATCAACTATTTTATGCAGATCAGTGTGACTAGATATATACATGGGCCTCACGTCAAATGTCTGACCCTAACATTAACACGTCATCTTAAAATTTTAGCAAATGTGACTAAAATTTGTTCAAGATGATTTAGTATGATTGTCTGCTACTTTGTATAGATTAGTGTGGTTAGATACAAAAGTAGACTGCACGTTAAAAGCTGGGCTCTATAATTAAAAGTCTCATGTTCACATCTTAAAATTTTAGCCAAATCAACTTAATCTTTTTAAGATTAGTTAATACAATTGCCCACTACTGTGTATGTGTGTATATGTCTACATATAATATATGTATGCATGGACCCAACATAGAAAGTCGAACCCTAAAATTAAAACATCGCGTTTACTTCTTAAAATTTTAGTGAAATTAACTAGAATTTATTAGAGACAACTTAGTATGATTGCTCACTGTTTTATAAAGATCAATGTGATTACATATATACATGGGTCCCACATCATAAACTTAAAACTAGACATTAAAGGTTGGTTGCCTCTTGAGTAGTTAACTCCACATAAAAATCCATTGGTCACTGAACTTTTTTGAGTTAACGTCCAATGGATTTTAGATTTTGTAGGACCAAATGGTTATTGACATCCAAACCATCCATATGCATCAGAAGCATCTAGAGTCCAATTATATTTTGGATTATCCAAATCCATTGCCACCTCTACATATAGGAGTAGAGTATATATATCAACTCGCTTGCAGCTACTAGCTAATAATGTATCCCGTGTCTCTGGCTCCCCAACATTTGCAGTACGCAGTCGGATGCTTGTCCACATGCAAAGATACAATCCCTAAGGTAAACGGCTCATGCTCTGGTAAGGCGGGGTGCTGCCAGATGGACCTCCCGAGGGGTGTGCGATATTATCACGGATACTTCAACCCATTATACAACACCACTCAAATATGGAGGACAAATCCTTGCAATTATGTCACAGTGATGGAAAGCGCCGCCTTCAACTTCAGCACCACTTACCTCACCTCAAGTGTGTTCTATGATAGAGACCAACGGAGGACACCGGTTGTCATGGAATGGTCGATTGCACCAAATACTACATGTGAAGAAGCCAAAATCAATCAGACATCTTATGCGTGTGTTAGCAACAATAGCTATTGTTCCACGAATGATGCGGGATATGTTTGTAAGTGCTCAGATGGATACCAAGGAAATCCTTACATCATAGATGGATGCACAGGTTTATCTCCCTTTATGTCTATTATTTTGATTTTGTTTTTCCTTCTCATGCAAAGATAGAAGACATGCATGTTTCAACCAAGTAGCAAGTTGTTCCTAAAAAATCTAATAAGATTAACATATAGTCTTTTGTGATTTCAGATATTAATGAGTGCATTGTTCCAAACCGGTGTCCTGCTGGAAATTGCATAAATACACTTGGGAGCTTCACTTGTTTATGCCCACGAGGACAAAGCATGATCGGTGATGTTTGCATGAAAAATCAGAAGTCAACGTGGATGGCTCCAGTGGTTGGTAGGTTGCTAAGAGCTCAAATAGATTATATATATGATGACTTGTGAACCATTTTTAGAAGTGCTGAGCTTGTAATAACCATTCAGGTGCAAGTATTGGAGTTGTGGTTCTTGTGGTTGCGGTCACTTGTGCATACTTGATCCTAGAAAGACGAAAGCTCCAACACATCAAACAAAAGTATTTTCGACAGCATGGTGGCCTACTGCTATTCCAAGAGATGAAGTCGCAACAAGGACTTCCATTCGAAATATTCTCTGAAGAAGCACTACAGCAAGCCACAGACGGGTTTGCAGAACAACAAGTCATTGGCCATGGAGGCCACGGAAAAGTTTATAAGGGAGTTATGAAGGACGATATGGAAGTTGCCGTGAAAAGATGCATGACAATTGATGAACAACAGAAGAAAGAATTCGGTAAGGAGATGATAATCCTATCCCAAATCAACCATAGGAACATTGTAAAGCTCCTCGGTTGTTGCTTGGAGGTTGAAGTCCCCATTTTGGTGTATGAGTTCATCCCAAATGGCACATTGTTCCATCTCATCCATGACAACCGTAGCCGGCACATTTCCTTGGACACTCGACTAAGGATTGCTTATGAGTCTGCAGATGCCTTAGCCTATCTTCATTCATGTGCATCCCCGCCCATCCTCCATGGTGATGTCAAGTCTACCAACATCCTTTTGAATGGTGACTTAACAGCAAAAATATGTGACTTCGGCGCATCCATTCTAGCACCAAGCGACGAGTCACAATTTGTAACGCTTGTCCAAGGAACATGCGGCTACCTTGATCCAGAATACATGCAGACATGGCAATTAACAGATAAGAGTGATGTTTACAGCTTTGGAGTTGTTCTCCTAGAGTTGCTCACACGCAAGAAGGCGTTCAACCTCCAAGGACCTGAGCACGAGAAGAGCCTATCTATGGTGTTTCTATGTGCAATGAAGGAGAACAAGCTAGAGGATATCCTGGACGATGAAATCAAGAATAGCGAGAATTTGGAGATTCTCGAGGAGATTGCAGAGTTAGCAAGACAATGCTTAGAGATGTGCGGCGCAAATAGACCATCAATGAAGGAAGTTGCAGATAAACTTGATAGACTGAGGAAGGTCTTGCAAAATCCATGGGCACATAAGGATCCTGAAGAGTGGGACAACTTGCTTGGAGAGTCATCTTTGGTTAACTCAGGGGCTCTTAGTACGGGGAATTTCAGCATCACGAAGAGAGTTGCTATGGGCTTAGAATCAGGGCGTTAAGTTTATACAAAGTACATTAGGTCCTATTACATATACAACTCCAAATTAATGTACATGCATGATAGATACTCTTTTACATACATGTTCCTTTACTAGGATTTAACTTGTACTCCTATATTTGCCATAAGACAGTCAGCACAAAGTACATTAGGTCCTATTATATCACTACAAAAATGGATAGACGATACTCTTATATTCTCAGGGTTAGGGGTTAGGACTTATAAATTTGAAGACTTTTGCCATCTAGGGTTCCAGGATTTGGGGAATTTGTTAGGAGTTTCTCTGGTTTGCTCGTGAAAAATATTAATTCTAAACCTCCAGAAGCTATGATGCCAGATACAGGTCAAATGACGATGCATGAAAAACATCTAAATTAATGGTTTGAAAAGAAGTGTTTTGTCATGTAATTTATTAGCATACGTGCTCAAATAAAATCCAAAATTTTCTTAATAAAGGCCATGCACAAAATTAGATTTGTTTTCATATTAAATTTAAATGCATTGAAAACAACCTAAAATTTTTTGTTCCCTTTGCAAACTACTACGTAAAAGTTTAGCCGGACGTTATTCTGTCTTGGCTGGGTCATCCCGAGGTTGTCCAGAGCCGCTGATCTTCATCAGTGGCTAGGTTCAAACTATGTGTTCTGCAAACGTGCGTCTCTCTTTCAACAAACGTCGGCTAGCCTGGTGCTGCAACTTCAGCGGTCCGAGTGTTACAACTTGGAACTGGTTGGTCAATACTCAATAGTCGCTAGGTCTTTAGGGGCTGCTTGGTTTGTTTGCCACGCACTGTTATGCCTTGTCCAGCGAGAATAGCAAGCGAGAGAGTATCAGCCTGTTCGTTTCGGCTGGATTGGCTTATAACCTATGGCCTGAAGTATTGCTGGCTGTTTTGGTGTGAGAGGAAAACACTATTGGCTGGCTGATAAGCCAAGCCAGAGAGAGCATGCCGAACAGGTTGCATGTTTGGTTTCCTTGCCGGCGCTCCTCAGGGACCGTGTGGGCGAGGTTTAGCACGCTTGCCTGGGAGAGCCAAAATTTCTCGAGCTCCTCATTGCTCGCGTCAGGTGCAGCGAGGCGAGGCGAAGCAAGCCCGCACCGGAACCAAGCAGCCCTTAGTCGCGTAACTCGCGGAGATGATAGCCAGGACTGAGTTTTTCTTTTTTTCCAGCGGTTCTTCTTCTTCTTCAAAATGTGTTCATTTGGATTGACGGCTGTTCTGGCCAGCTGATGTTGCCCTCGTTGTCACTCACGGTCACAGTCACAGGGGCGACGTACGTGGCTCGCAGGCCAGCGACACCATGCATGTCCAGTCCGCTGTTTGAGTCTTTGAGACCCCAAGTCACAGAGTCAGAGTCACAGGTTGGAAAGAATTTTACAGACGTGAGTTTCTTTTTTTGAAAAGGGACGTGAGTACTGAATCATTGGTTGGATGGAAGTGCAGCGCGGTGCAGAAGTCTTCTCGAGGACTCATCAAGAAACGTCAAATATGACCCCGGGTCTTTGAGAGCTACTGCAGTCAATGGAAGAAGCCATGCACATGCATCTGTAAACGCAAGCACGGAACGACGACCACGCGTCGTTTTGACGTACCAAACGAACTGTCGTCCACGAAACCTTCTGAAATGAAAAAAATATATAATGTTAAAAATGCAAAAATAAAGTCAGTCCACGCGCTTGCCGTATGCCGTGCGTCAGTCAAGACGATAGTTAGCGTCAGGTCTCTCTGCATGCCTCTATGGCTCTATGTTGCCAGTGTGCATATAGCTACAACTCACAATACTGCCAAAAACCACGCATCCGATGATCCGATCGCACGAAGCAAAAACACGCCGTACGTCCCATGGAGTTCTCATGGCTTCTTCTTCTCCTCTGCCTTGTGGTGGCCGCGTGGGCGCACGCCATGGAGTCCTGGCTGCCCAGCGATCACTACTACAAAAAACGATTTATGGCAACCACTGGTGCAGCAAGGCTTTTTGCTCCTGATTGGAAAACCCCTTTAGTCCCGGTTTTCCAACCGGGAGCACCAATCCGGGACTAAAGGTACCCTCCTTTAGTCCCGGTTTCTCGTCCGGAACTAAAGGTCCACATTTAGTCCCGGTTGGTAATACCAACCGGGACTAAAGAGGCCTCCCGACCTGGCCACGTGGGGCGACCCTTTAGTCCCGGTTGATATTACCAACCAGGACTAAAGGTTTTTTTTTTCTTTTTTTTTTCTATTTTCAATTGATATCACCTACTGTAACTCCTAAGATCTCAGAAATAACACATTTTAGCAACTGCACAATCAAAAAACAGGTGTTGACTAGTTGCTCTCTCATTACATAACCGACAAGATTCATCTTTTACTTTTCTTCTCTTAGCCAGATTATCTCCGACAAGAACTCTCTTATTAACCAGCACCCACAAAAACATATGGACTCTAGGAGGGACTTTAATGCTCCATACAGCCAAAACATGAACCTTTGGCAGTAAATTGCCACATCATTTCATCATCGTCTACAAAGAACTGAAAAGTGGACAAAAGCTCTACTACTTCTAACCAGGATTGATACAGGGCCCGCAGCTCGCAGGTCCGTAGCTCCTGCACCGATGGCTCCGTCCTCCACTGGATCTCGCCCTCCTAGGTGGAGCCTGCGGCATCAGACTGGATGTTTGATTGGAGCGAACGCAGATCTAGACCAAACCATGGCAGATCTATTGAGCCACGACACGGATCTAGCATCACAGCAGCACAAAGCGACCACGGAATGAAACCCAGTGAGAAGGAAACGAGAATGAAACCCAGTGAGAAGGAAACGAAACAGACCTTGGAGTCAAGGATCTCGCCGTAGGAGGCGAAGGCATGCTCCAGGGACTCGTTGTTGGTTGCCCAGGCCAGCCCGCCGACGAAGCAACGGTACTCCACGCCCACCGCCGCCATCTCCCCTCCACAGAACCGAGGACGAGGACTTGGTAAGAGGGGGAGGAAAAGCCAACACACCTCTGAGAGAGCACAGGGGAGCACGGATCCCCTACCCGGCGGTTTTATAGCGCGACGGGCGCGACGTGAGCTGTCATGATCGGACCGAGCGGAGGATAAGGATCCGAGGTGGGCCTTCCGCACTGGGACTAAAAGTTCCCTTTAGTCCCGGACGGAGCCTCCAGCCGGGAGTAGACTTTTACTCCCGGTTGGAGGGATCAACCGGGAGTAAAAGTTAACCTTTAGTCCTAGTTGGTAGCTCCAACCGGGACTAAAGGTCCCATGCAGCAAAAGCCTGCCGCAGTAGCCATGGGCAGAGACCTTTAGTCCCGGTTGGAGCTACAAACCGGGACTAAAGGTCTCTCTAGTCCCGGGCGCGAAAAATACCGGGACTAAAGGTCTCTCTAGTCCCGGACGCGAAAAATACCGGGACTAAAGCCAAATTTCGAGGTGGGATCAAAGGTCGTTTCTCTATTAGTGAACACCTCCTTTTCTTTGTAGGGGCGGCTCTGTATGGTTGCCAAATGAGCCGCCCTTACAAATAGATTTATAGGGGTGGCCGGTGTTATCAGCCGCCCCTACAAATGGCCCGATTTGTAGGAGCGGCTCTATATCCAGCCGCCCCCTACAAATCAGATTGTAGAGGCGGCTCAATATTGAACAAACCTTACAAATAGACACCGAGTATTAAAAATTAAGCACTAAAATTTAAATTTTGTAAACGATCTCGGATGGAGAAACAACCAAAATGAAAGTTGTAGATCTCGAAAGGTTATGAAACTTTGTAGCTGACAACATTTTGATTTGAAATCATCTTGTCAAGGAAAACTACGTTTGAATTTCTAAAAAATTGAAATTTTAATTTTTTAAATGACCTCGGATGGTCAAACAGTAAAAATGAAAGTTGTAGCTCTTGAAAAGTTACGAAACTTTGTAGTTGATAACTTTCTCATTTGAAGTCATCTTGTCATGGAAAACTACGTTCGAATTTCTCAAATTTGAAATTCAAATTTTATAAGTGACCTCGGATGGAGAAACTACCAAAATAAAAGTTGTAGATCTCGAAAAGTTATAAAACTTTGTAGCTGACAACTTTTTCATTTGAATTAGTTTAGGGTCTCAAACAATCAATTTATGCTCAGTTTTGTATAATATGTGGGGAACCAAAATGGATAGTAGACACAAGTGATCGTGAGGTGCAGTGGTAGAGGAGTTTGCGCGCGAGCGAGAGGTTGCGGGTTTGAATCCCGACTGACGCAAATGTGTAAAAATCATGAAAAAAATGCTGTAACCATAGAGTGGGTGTGTGGCTGCCGGTGGGGACTTCCTCGGATAAAAAAATGCTATTTTTTGTCCTTTTTTCCTGGTTTCTGGAAATTGATTTGTAGGGACGGCTCAATATACGGCCGCTCCTATAAATCGATTTTGAGAGTCCTGGCTGCCCAACGATCAATGCTAAAAAACGATTCGTGGCAACGCCTCACTTTCTTTGTAGGGACGGCTCTATATGGTTGCCAAATGAGCCGTCCTTACAAATACATTTGTAGGGGCGGCCCAGCCGCCCCTACAAATGGCCCGATTTGTAGGGGCGGCTCTATATCTAGCCGCCCCCTACAAATTAGATTTGTAGGGGTGGCTCAATATTGAACAACCCCTATAAATAGACACCGAGTATTAAAAATTAAGCACTAAAATTTAAATTTTGTAAATGATCTCGGATGGAGAAACAACCAAAATGAAAGTTGTAGATCTCGAAAAGTTATGAAACTTTGTAGTTGACAATATTTTGATTTGAAATCATCTTGTCAAGGAAAACTACGTTTGAATTTCTAAAAATTTAAATTTTTAATTTTTTAAATGACCTCAGATGGACAAACAGTAAAAATAAAAGTTGTAGATCTTGAAAAGTTATGAAACTTTATAGTTGATAACTTTCTTATTTGAAATCATCTTGTCATGGAAAACTACGTTCGAATTTCTCAAATTTGAAATTCAAATTTTATAAGTGATCTCGGATGGAGAAACTTCCAAAATGACAG